CCATGCCAACCCACAGGGAGTAGTGCACGCATGCGATGGCTGCTGTCCTGTTTGGCACTTGCTGCGCTAATAGAAGTTCCTCCGGGTGTGCCAGCCCATGACAGACGCTTACCAGACCGTCTATAAATATTTCTGGTTGGGAGTCCATTGTGAATCTGGCTGTGATCGTCGTCCTGACTGCGACGTTAAAGAATTCCTGAAGAGATGGGGGTGCTCTATAAATTCCTCTAGATCAGCCAGATCACATGGACAGGAAGGCTCGTCGCCGTACGAGGGTAAATAAGAGTGGTTGGGCTGGCTTGCTCGGTGACAACTTGGGCACAGGGGTGGGCCGATACACACATGAAAACACTGCTTTGCTCAAGATGCTGTCCGGATGGTTGGATTGAGGGGAAGGGTAGATTCCAATTGGTGCTCAACTGAATACACAACTATACCCATCAATCTTACATCTGCTACATGGTCTTTTTGTACTTTTGATTAGTCGGTGGACAGACTGCTAACACCTCACAGACAGACAAGAGTAGGACTGAAGTATACTACCATAGCCAGTTCTATCTTGTGCTGCTGTAAGTGAACCAGTCAAAGTGCATTTAGACTATGTAGACAATCTGTGTGAATGTTGTAGACATGCCACTTGATCGGTACAGTAGGGGACTTGCCGAACACAACCATTTCTAGAAAATTAGGTGCCGGTCAGACACATGCTGCGGTAGGATTCCACTAGGGGATTCTAGTGCAGATAGTGTTTGCCTAATGAACGGATCGGACGTCGATGAGTAGGGAGTTGACGATGTTAGACTAACACGTGCAAGATCAAGTAGGATCCCGTACGTGTTCAGGACCTTAGACGAGGGAGAAGAAAGACGGCTTCGTGCCGAACRCAGAGCCCGTGCTCACGCAGCATCGAGAGCAGCAGCAAACGTTGCAGCTAGGGAACAGGCTGCAGCAGCAGCCAGGGCAGCAGCCATGACTTCTTCAGCAGCATCCTCCGCTGCAACTTCAGTTGCGTTCTCGTCTGGACCCCAGTTTGGAATGCCAACAGGGTCCGCGGGCACTTCCAGTTCAACAGGTTCTAGACAGTCTACAAGTCAAATGGCGGGCTCGCAGTTCAGCCCGTTGACTCCTCGCGAAAGGGAGATGAGGGAGCTCCAGCAGGTCGAAAGGATCCGTGCACAATTAGAGAAGGAACTGAAAGAAGCTACCGATAGAGAAAGAGAGATAAAGAGTAGAACAGCCAGGCTTGAAACGTTAACGGCTGACAAGGCTGAGTTAAAGAGCATGGACGACTCTGGAATGAATGAGCCCATGAAAGTGTTGAGGAACAACATGCTGTCACTGCATGCGCACGTAGATAGCAGGTTGGACTTCATGCAGAGCACTTTGGACCAGATCCTGGACATTTTGACAAGGCCAGGATTTAGGCCACCAGCACAATCACCGTTGCCGTTATCGGCGATGTCAGGCCCCTTTCCAGTTCAAGCTGGCACACAACCAAGTGGCACATCTGCAGCAGCCGCACAGACTGTTGCATCTTCTTCTTCGGGTCCTGTGGTGATAGCTACTCCACCACAACAACCTGTTCAGCAATCTGGACAGCCGCAAGGTCAATGGTATCCCAAGACCCCAATGAAACCGCCTCTTGCCTTCTCAGGCGAAAGAAAGGACGAGGAACTCAACACATGGTTGAGAAAGGTCCCGGTTTGGGTGAAGGCAAAGAGGACCTTGCCTGAGGACGAAGTGGTAAGTGCGGCGTCTTACCTAGAGGGTAAGGCAGCCAAATGGTTAGATGGTGTAGTTGTGAAGGCCGGGTACGGGCGACGCATGGCGGACTGGGCTAAGTCTTTGACTTTAGACCAATTCATGGAAATGGTAGAAGCTCGATGGCATAATCCGCAGGAGGCGCAACGGGCTACTGATGCCATTAACAAACTGGACCAACGCAAGTTCAGGTCAGTTAGAGCTTACGACTACCGTTGAGAGCCTGATCCTCGTCCCAGGTATCAACTACAACGACCAGTTCCTATTGACTACTTTTGTCAGATGTCTCCCGGAGAACATTAGGAACTTGCTAGCCAGCGAGGCACGCACTGAGTACCACTCGTTTGAGACACTGTCTAGGAAAGCCTTAGACGTAGAGGCCACACTAGGCAATGCTCAACCCACCTCAGGGAATGACTCAAAGAAGAAGAAGAGTCCTCAGGAGTGGAAGAAGAAGGGGGCGAAGTTGATGATGGTTGAGTCTAATGGGACTCAAACTGAGATCGATGAGCTCTCTGACCTGATGGACTACACAGAGTATAACGGCGAGGAGGTAGCTAAGGGTAGCACCCTCGCCGCGGTAGTAAAGACTAAGGCGGCAGGCCGAGGGAAGGGCCAACCGAGGAGTCAAGGGAAGGCCGCCTCCAATCAGACCAAACAGGCTGACTGGGTTAAGGCAGGTCTTGATCAAGACGTGTGGCGTGACCGCCGAACGCGTGGTGCTTGTATCAACTGTGGTGAATACGGACACATCCTTAGTACAAGTGCCAGAACGCTAAGGTCACGCAGAAGATACCTCCTAAGGTGGGGGCATCTTCTTCCCAGGCTTCTAGCTCGGGAAACGCGTAGGGCTAGTGGAAGTAGTAGCGGGGCTTCTACTCAAGATGAAGTGGGCATGATACCCTCCTCACTTCATGACAAGGCCGAAGCTAATGACTCCTTAGTCACCCCACAGACGCATCTAGACCAAACTATGCTCTGTATGTTAGATGTATCTGAAGCCTTAGAAGACTTAGAAGGCGAATGGTCAAACAAGGACCCTCGCGAGTCTTGGGTGGCGCTGAAGAAGGGTCCTAGAGGGGAACATTTCGTGGTGGAAGTGGATGTAGGAGGCCGCAAATGT